ATCTTAACCTTGTTATCACTTTTTCCTCCTTTCTATTTCTTCTTTCTCCTACATTCTTCTGAATTTTATAAAACCATCTTCCTGTTTTACCTTTTTTTGCCATACTTTCATCAGTTTCTCTTTAACAATACTCTTTCCTTCAGATTTACTTATTTTAACTGTAAAACTAATAGGATACTGAACTGCCCTCTTTGCCATTTTATCTGCCCTCTCGTTACCTTCTGCTCCAATATGTGCTGGAACCCACACAAACATAACTGTCAAACCCATGTTTTGTATTCTGAATAATGTATGATATATTTCTAATAAAATGTCCATCCTACCATCTGTCTGATTACTTTTTAAACTTAATAATGCAGAGCTTGAATCTGAACATACTATCGTTTTTAATGGTTTTACGTCTTATACCCATTGCAAAGCTAATAATTTTGCCAACATTTCTCCTTTGTTTACTGAAAGCCCATCTGTAATTCGTTTTCCTATTTTTACATTGAATTCTGGTACTACAAACGCTATTCCTATTTTCCCAGTTATTTTTGATGCATCCGTATAAAATTTAACGTATTGATAATAATTATTTAAATATAATTGCACTGAATAACTATCTACAATGTAAGATTTATCTTGTTTTGTTTTTTTTTCCTCCATTTTTGATGTGGGTCCGTCTCTGAAAAGTGTTCGGAGAAACTAAGCAGTATAGCACAGTTCCGGTGTTATGTCGAATCTTGTTTCACCCTCAGACTCTGCCTKCTAATGAGCTCCGCCCCGTCAAAACGACAAAAAAGCCGTGGAATAAAATAAGTGTCATATAATACGTGTTTGATGTAGCAAATATATCTCCAYAGTTATATTTTGCGCATCGAAACCACTACACATAGCACGAGCGCCGAAACTAGCTAAACAGGAAACAGATATTTTTCTGGTAAACGGAATTCGACACAACACCGAAAGTTGGGAGTAACAGCAGGATCCGGAGGCGTGTTTGTTTGTTTCTGCAGTTTACAAGGGTTAACGCGCTTTAAGGAAGGTCAAGCTGACAAAAACACTAATGTAGGTGTTTTRTTTATCGTCTCGAAGCCAAACAATAAGAATAAATGACAACAATGAAGCCTCACAAGCTGTCCGCCAAAAAACGTTTCTCCAAACCGATTCTGTTCGGCTCGGTGCTGGTTGGACTCGCCACGCTTTTCTATAACAGGTGAGATTTTCCTCTGTCACTTTTAAACAAGTGTGCTTTTTCACTGACTGATAGCTGATATTATTCCACTTCACCACCCCTGTTTACAAACTGTTATGTGAACTGTGATGTGTTTCATGTTAAAATAAACAGGCAAAAGTATCAGATTTTGTTCAGGTTGGTATCTTGTCTCACCAAGATATTTTCTCCAAAATGTCAACAAATTATTTATTATTGCTTCAGCTGTACTTTTTGAGTCAGAAAATATATAAAACAGATTTCAGGTTCAGGCCCCTGTTGGATGGTGCTTTCCTTTGATAATTATAAAAAGAAAATTGTTTTTCCTCCATCCTGCAGACACAAGTTCTTAGAGGACGTGGAGGACCTCAAGGCCCAGGAGCGAGCTCGTTACGAAGAGAAGAGGCTGGAGGTCCTTGAGACGCGGCAGAGGCTGCTGGAGGAGCTGGCAAAGAAGAAGCAGGAGAATGACTGAGAACATCAGAAACTTTCAGCTGAAGCTGAGCCGGTCGACGGGCTGAAGGAAGTCATATAAAGATGTGAACGTTGTCCCTGGAGTCTGTGTTCATTAATGCTGTGTTTCCCAAACTTTTTATCTTCTGACCCACAAAATATCCATGGCAAAAACTTGTGACCCCAAATATTACTGGTCTGAGTACACAGACTTCATTAATAACCCTAAAAACACAGGCTTTTTGACAATCTAAACAGCTTGTACACAAATATACAGTAAATACTTATTTTTACTTATTTTGTGTTTTTGTAATTATAGGAAAAATATTACAGCAGCAATTATTTTATTACCCTTTAAATTGATTTCTGGAGATTAAGGTGCTTCATGACCCAGAATTGGGT